ATATAATCAGACAGGAGGCTTAGATTTATAATGAGACCTTCTCACTAGTGGTTTAAAATTGCCACTGTCAGGACTGCCTTTTGATTTGCCAACTTATTAAAAATCTGTGATTTGTGCGCCTATAAATTGTGGGCCGTTATCACACACGATTTCTTTTGGTACACCGAATCGACATATGATATTTCGCCAAATGAAATCTCTAACTTCCTTTTCCCGTACCTGTTTAAATGCTCCTGCTTCTACCCATTTAGTAAAGTAATCAGTGAGTACAAGTAGGAATTTTACCTGTCCCTTTGCTTGTGGTAATGGTCCCACGATATCCATCCCCATTTCATAAAAGGCCACGGTGCAATAACCGGATGTAACAGTTCCGCAGGTCTATGCATGTTGTTACCATACCTTTGGCATTTATCACATTTAGTCACGAAATTCTCCGCTTCTTCTTCCATTTTAGGCCAATAATAGCCTGTTATCATGGTTCTTACCAGTGATCTTCCTCCTGCGTGATTTCCACAATGCCCCTCGTGTATCTCTCTCATTACATATTCTGTTTGAGAAGGCCCGAGGCATCTTGCTAAGGGGCTACCGAACCTTTGGTTTTGCGATCAATGGCGGATTTGACAGGTATGTCTTCAAATTTTTGAGCGCCTGTTAACACTCCTCAGTCCATTCGAACTGATCTTTCTTTTTAAGAACTGAAAAGAATTTAAAGCACTTTTCTGATGATTTAGAAATAAATCTCCCCAAAGCTGCAATTCTTCCTGTCAATCTCTGCACTTCTTTTTTATTTGTAAGTATATCAGGGATTNCTATCCACGAATTCTCTGAGCAACTCGGAGTCCCCTTGTTTGATTTTGAAAATATCCTCCATTCTCTTTTCGACTTTTTGTGCTCCCGAATGTGCTTTGATAAATAAATCTGCAAGCTCAGCAAAAGAATTTATGGAATTTTCGGGTAAAAGAGAATACCATGTTAATGCTCCCTTAGTGAGTGTTTCACCGAATTTTTTGACCAATACTGATTCAATTTCTTGTTTGGTCAAATCGTTGCCTTTTACGCCAGTTGTGAATGCAGTCACGTGGTCTCGTGGATCAGTTGTTCCATCGTATTTTGGAATATCGGGCATTTTGAATTTCTTTGGAATTGGTAGAGGAGCAGCGCTTGGCTTCCAAGGTTGCTGTGAATATTTGTCCATATCTATTCCTTTGATTACAGGCGGTACTCCAGGTATTTGCTCTATGCGGTCACTTTGCTCCTTGAGCTGTTTCTGCAATGTTAGAACTAAATTTTGTAAATCGGAATTGACTAAGTTACCTGGTTCTCCATCTCCTGACTCACTGGGAATTCTGCCACTGCCTGAATTAACAAGCCCACAACGAGGGTTTTCCAAAGTGTTGGTATTTGGAATTGGTGTTGGTGGTGCAACAGGTAACTGGCTGGCAAAGGCCTCAAGAGCTTTATTGACCTGTTGAGCGATCAGCTTTTGCAAAGCTTCATTGATAGCTTCATCGTTGTCAAATTGAGCATTTGCGTTTGAGTGAGACCCATCAGGAGTTCCTTCTCGAGACCGCTGAGGCGAGCTTTGTGGAGAAGGGATTGAAGTGTGAACATCTTGTGGGTCCCCTTGGAGTTGATGGTTTCCTTGGGTGTTATCGTTAACATTTGACATGATTGTTGATGTAACGAAATAGGTTAGGTTAAGAAAGAATAGATTATCAGATTTCCGGTAACGAAACCAATTTGTTTAACCAAAAAAATAGAATTTCGGTCAAAGCTTTATTTTAGAAGAACTCGGGTTACTGATAATCAAAGAAATGAATAATAGAAATTGATTTTGCTAATAACGAAGTGAATAAAGGAAAGCAAAATAAATCAGTATATTCCAATAGTGTTTTCCGTGTTTACAAAATGACCAGTCTTCTCCTTTTTATAGCTATCTTTAAGATATACGTTTTGCCTTTGTCATAATAAGGTCATTATAGACAATTAAAGGCATTAAATGCTACGTTACATAATCATTGTAATTTAATACAAATTCTCTAACGTTTTCAGTATTTAATGCTTATTAAATACTGTATCTGTACTCTCTTATGCTGTCAGATTCATTCTTCCAAACTTTTAGATTTAAATAGGTACGAGCATCGAGTCTTTTGAATATCTGCTCGTGCCTCTGCTTGTGCCTCTGCTCGTATCTGTTACAACTCATGCCTCCTTGCTTACCATCATTCTTTGACCAGCCTTCGTGTCATGACACGTCATCTTTCAATCACTTCAATATGTAAACTCAATTTTTCCCAATACAAGGTTGTGTAATGACAACTCCCAATTCTTGAAATAAGGCAAGTAACCATGTTACTTCAGCCACAACAGATGCCATGCTTCGATATTCTGCCTCTGCAGAGCTTCTTTAGACAGTTTGCTGCTTCTTAGACTTCCAAGACACCAAGGATTCACCAAACTTGACAACGTAACCAGTCACAGATCTCCTAGTGTTAGGACAAGCAGCCCAGTAAGAGTCACACCAACAAGTAAGATGCTGTGTTGATTTTGCCTTCATAAACACACCTAAACCAGGTGCATTTTTGAGATACTTCACCACTCTGATGGCAGCTTCCCAATGTGATTGTTTTGGGCTCTTGCATAAATTGACTGAGTGTCTACACTGTATAGCTAATATCAGGTCTGGTGATGGTCACATATAGCAATTTACCTAGCAACCTTTGATAAACACAAATATCCTGCAATGGCAGATCATCTGTTGTACCTACTGCCTTATCATATTCCATTGTAGTCAATTTTTGGTTTGTTTCCAACAGTGTTGCATAAGGCTTTGCTCCACTGAGTCCCATTTCTGAAATCAATTCAAGCACATACTTTCTTTGATTCAACAAAATGCCCTGTTGTGACCTTAGGACTTCTATGCCTAGGAAGTACTTAAGCTCCCCTAGGTTCTTGACTTTGAACGTATCATGCAGTATACTCTTAGAAATACTCACAAGCTCTTTACTACTTCCTGTGATAAGCAGATCATCCACATAGACTAAAATGATCACCACATCCTCACCTTTTCTCATGGTAAACAGAGAGTAGTTATGATTGCTTTGAGTGAAACCTACACTTATTAAGGCTTCAGTCAACTTAATGTTCCACTACTAGATGCCTGCTTGAGTCCATACAAGGACTTGCGCAATCTGCATACCTTTTTCTCTCCCTGACTTCTAAAACCTTGGCATCTCCATGTATATCTCCTCACATAGTTCTCCTTGCAAAAAAGCATTATAGACATCCATTTGGAACAGTTCCCAGCTCTTTGATGCTGCTAGTGCTATGATGGATCTTACTGCAACCATTTTTGCCACAGGAGGGAAAGTATCATGATAATCCAACCCTTTCTTTTGACTGTAACCTTTGGCAACTAATCTTGCCTTAAGCCTCTCTACTGCCCCATCTGCTTTAAACTTGATCTTGTATACCCACTTTGATCCCACAGTGTTTTTCCATTTAGGCAAATCACCTATCTCCCAAGTTTTGTTTTCTTCAAGTGATGTGATCTCTTGTTTCATTGCCTCAATCCACTTGGGGTCTTTGACAGCTTCTCTGAAGTTCTTTGGTTCAACCAAGGAGGAAAAACTTGCAAGATAACTTTGATACTTAACAGAGGTGCCTGCATAGGTTAAGTAATCTGACAAAGGATACAAGCTGCAATGTGACTTGGGTTTGGTCTTAGTGACATAGTCCTTTATCCATATAGGCTATTTGCCTTGCCTGATTGATTTTCTTACTTCTGTCTCGGTAGGCACATTAGTAGGAGCAGATGGAGTGTTATCTGCAATAGGATCAACAGCATTTGGAATGTGATCATTCTTCTCAGAACTAGTATTAGGTCGATCTGCCTCAGAGATGTCTTCATTGTTCTCAGTAGCATTGGTATCTTTAGGAATGGAGTTTTCAACTTCAGGGGTCTCATTGCCCTGACATTGTAAATCAGGAACTATGCTGTCCTGGGCATAAATAGCCTCCTCTTCTCTTACTTCTAATGGACCGGCCATATCTGATGCAACAGGTGTATCTTGCAAAGGATGAGGCAAGATGGCATCTGGGAAAATAGTATCAGGAGGAGCTGTGCATCCTGAAGAAACCTGTGTTCTGAATGGAAAATCTGTTTCCCTAAAAGTCACATCCTTGTTGACAAAGAATTGCCTAGAAGTTAAGTCCAGCAAGATGTAACCCTTCTGTGTTTCTGAAAAACCAAGTAATACTATAGGTTTAGCCCTTTGTGCAAACTTATCTCCCTTGACCAAGTTAGTTGCATAGCAGAGGCAACCTAGTATTCTAAGGTGACTTAGCTTCGCTTTTTTGTGATACAATTGTTCATATGGTATGCTACCTAATAAAACAGTAGAAGGCAGCTTGTTTATCATGTACACTTCTGCCTTTACACGCATGCCCCAATATCTGAGAGGAATGGATGCTTGAAATCTTAAGGCTATAGTAGTATCAAGGATGTGTCTATGTTTCCTCTCTACGACACAGTTCTGTTGTGGAGTGTAGGGACAACTACTTTGATGAATGTCACACCCCTTTTTTAACCTCACTTAACCCTCTTAAAATAAATAAAAGGATTTGTAAAGCTCAAAAAGCTTTTTCAAATTGAAAGTGACAAAACAATTGTTTGAAAGGGATTAACTTAGAGTCGCCACCTGACATTTGATTTCGGTGTGCCAGGTCACCGTTTTTCTTTTAAAATAATAATTTTCCTTCAAAACACATTTGACTCTTAAATCAGTTTGCACCAGAGATTCTAGATAAGGGGGTTTATTTGACTCGGGGAGAAGGTGTTAGGCATTCCCTGAGTCCCGTAACTAGTACGGTTGCGTACATAATCGAGTTGGCTTTAAAGAATACTCAAATTGAGGTAGAAAAACACAAAAAAATAAAAAATAAATAAACAATCAAAAGAGGCTCGAGGTCATCCCCACCTAATGAAACAAAAATAAAAGTAAAAATAAAAATACTATTCTATGCTTCCTCAAAGTGTTCCATTGTTGGCCTTCAAATACAAATACTTCGGGGCACACCCCGAATAAAAATATATACAAAATCTTCGGGGCATTCCCCAAATAATATAATCAACTAAAGGGACAACCTCTCGCCTCAACAGAAATTAAATAACAAACGTCCTAAAAGTTTACTTACCCCTTTATCAACGGCCTAAACATTATACTAGCAGTCCCTTAAATAAACAAGAATGCGAGCATGACAAGTTTTTGAGCTTAATATAGAAAAGTTCTATCAAACATTCCAAGTCAAGTTTCGTGACCCAACACTCCAACAGGAAGTTGTAAACTTTAATTTATTTTCATTAACCTTTTTAGTTACTTGAATTAATCAAAACACAACTACCCTTAATTTCATTCACTGCCGTGGTTTACTTGGCGCTCTCGATGAATTTTAACCCAAAATTATTAAACCAAACATATCACGTGTTCATCATTCTAAAAACTAACCAACTAATTCATTTTTGTTCTATCTAATGTATCATATTCAAACTAAACATAAACAAATCAATAAGAGATAGTTTTAAACAAAACACAAAATAATCGAATAATCATAGGGCAGCCATAATTGTATTGGGGAAAATTATATTTATATATATATATGGTGACATGTCATGACACGTAGACTGATCAAACAGTCAAAGAATTAAGGTTGGTTAACAGACACGAGCAACAACAGATACGAGCAGCAACAGATACGAGCAAGTTAAATAAAGAAGGCACGAGCAGTCATACAAATAATTCAACGCTCGTACCTATTCAAGACATTCAAAGGTTAAAGATCGAGAAGAGTCAATATGAATCTGACAGCAAAAAAGAGCCCAAATACAGCATTTAATGAGTATTAAATACTAGAAACGTTAGAGAATATGTATTTAATGTATATGATTGCACATCGTAACATTTAAGGTCATTAATTATCCATAATTGTCTTATTATGGCAAAGGTAAAGTCTGTATTCCCAAAATGGCTATAAAAGGGAAAGTCACAAACAATTGTAGGGACACGAAAAAAAACACTACTGAAATATACTTTGATTAATTTGCTTTCTAATTATATCATTCACAAATCTCTTTCTTATATACTTTTTTCTGATTATCAGTAACCCGAGTTCTTCTAAATTCAAGCTTTGACCTAAAATCTAATTTTCGGTTAAATAAATTAGTTCCGTTACCGGAAATCTGATAATCAATTATATCTCAACCTAATTTTCTTGATTGCTCCAATCATGTCAAACAACAATGACAACACTCAAGGAAACCCAGAAATTCAAACAATCCAGCAACTTCAGGGAGACTCTCCACGAGGCTCTCCACAAGGTTCTCCACGAGGCTCCCCACGACGGTCTCGTGAAGGCACTCCTGGTGGATCTCACACAGATGGACAAGCTCAATTTGAAAATGTTGAAACCATGAATGAGGCTGTGCAAAAATTTATTGCCTCTCAAGTCAATAAAGCTCTTCAGGCTTTTGTTAGCCGATTACCTGCTGCTCCACCCACATCTACTCCAAACAACAATACTTTGGAGAATCCTCGTTCAGGATTGGTTAATTCAGGCAGCGGTGGAACCCCTAGTGAAACACAAGAGGGAGACCCAGGTAATCCAGTTAATTCTGATTTACAAAATCTAGTACTAACCTTGCAGAAACAGCTTAAGGAGCAAAATGAACGCATAGAACAAATACCTGGAGTACCGCCCGTGATCAAGGGAGTAGATATAGATAAATATTCCCAACAACATGGAAGCCAAGTGCTGCCCCCCTCCCAATTCCAAAGAAGTTTAAGATTCCTGATATTCCAAAGTACGATGGTACATCAGATCCACGAGATCACGTTACTGCATTCACATCAGGTGTCAAGGGTAATGATTTGACTAAGCAAGAGATTGAGTCGGTCTTGGTCAAGAAATTCGGTGAAACACTCACTAAAGGGGCCTTAACATGGTATTCTCTTTTACCTGAAAATTCAATAAATTCGTTTGCTGAGCTTGCAGATTTGTTTATCAAAGCACACTCGGGAGCTCAAAAAATTGAAAAGAGAATGGAAGACATCTTCAAAATCAAGCAAGGAGATTCAGAGTTGCTTAGAGAGTTCGTAGATAGATTTCAACGGGAAAGAATGACGCTGCCACGAGTACTTGACAATTGGGCAGCCATAGCCTTCGCTAGTAATTTGAATGAGAAGAGTTCAGAAGCCACGAGGCGACTCAAAGAAAACCTTCGAGAATTCCCAGCAACAACGTGGAATGATGTCTACAACAGATACAGTACAAAGATGAGGATTGAAGAAGACATTATTTTACAACATAAAACAGAAGAAAAGGTAAGCTCAAGGCGTGTGGAAAATAAAAAGAGATCCGGTAAAAATCAGGTACGAGCTATACATGGGACCTGCGGGAAAAGACTCACGATCAAGGCAAGATAATCAAAGGTACGATCATAAACCTAGAAACAGGGAATCAGGCTCCTCATCGAGGTTCGGAAATGATCGGAACACACGCGGGTCACGAGACGATGATGGAAGTCTAAAGGCAAGGTTCGGTGGTTACAACTTCAACGTAAGCACCTCTGAACTCGTGGCTGTTTTAAGAAGCATGGGAGATAAGGTACGATGGCCAAAGGAAATGCGATCGAATCCGAACAGACGAAACCCTGATCATTGGTGCGAATTTCATAACGATCACGGGCATAGAACAGCAGATTGCAGGTTTCTACAAGGTGAAGTTGATCATTTGTTAAAATAGGGGTATCTTACTGAGTTATTCAGTGAGAAAGGTAAACAAGCATACATGAAGAACAGGCAGGAGCCTCCAAAACCACCTTCGCCCAAGAGAACTGTCAATGTTATAAGTGGGGGTGAAGAGATCAACGATGTATCATATAAAAAGGTTTCAAAAGTAACAATTACCCACGGGAAGCGGCCTCGACATGTACTGGAAGAGGAGAATGTTATATTCAACGACGAAGACGCCGAGGGACTCATAACTCCGCATAACGACGCACTGGTAATATCTTTAC